ATATTCACCTTTGGGAGGCTGAGGTGAGTAGATTGCCCAAGCCCGCGGGTTCGAGACCCACCTGGGCAACTTGGTGAGACCTCATCTCTACAATAAATCAAAAAAATCAGCCGGGCATGGTAGCGCGTGCCTGTAGTTCCAGCTACTTGGAAGGCTGAGACAGAAGGATCACCGGAGTCCAGCAGGTCGAGGCTGCGGTGGCTGCCACTGCACTCCAGTCTGGGCGACAGAGTGAGATTCCAACTCAAAAAAAATGAATAAATTTAAAATTATATTATGGGAGACAAGAGGATTTCCTGAGCTCAGAGGTTCGAGACTAGCCTGGGCAACTTGGTGAGACCCTGTCTCTACAATAAATAAATAAGCTGGGTGTGGTGGTATATGCCTGTAGTTCCAGCTACTTGGAAGGCTGAGGCAGAAGAATCACCTGAGTTCAGCAGGTTGAGGTTACAGTGGCCGTGATCATGCCACTGCACTTCAGCCTGGGTGACAGAGTGAAAGTCAGACTCAAAAATAAAAATAAATAAACAAAGGAAAAAAAGTATATTAGACTAGGAAACAGTTATATTTTCAGAATCAGAACAGACATATAATAGTTTTGCTCATTTCCTTCTCTTCATACACACTTAAAGACAGCCACACATACTCAAGTAGACACTGATCTTACTTTATCCTTCTTCCCCAACTGGAAGATAAAATCTGTGTGCTTTTTAAAAATTAATTTATTTATTTTCTATATGCTTTCTATCAAAATAATTCCACCTCTAGAAATCTGCACTTGACTCTGACTTGAGAGGTTCAACAGCTGTATGTAGACTTGGTTAACCAAGCAAACTTTTCAAAATCAAGATTTTTAGTCACACTGATATTCCAGCCACTCTATAAACTAATATTGAAATGAGGTTCCTGTGTTAGATAATACACTAGCGTCCCTTTGCATTATGATCATCTATTTCATTTTCCAACAATAACTTTTAAAAAGATGGCTTTTATCTGTAGAGGTATACTGTATGCCACAAATAAATTTTTCTACATAAGGTTCTGTTCTTCTCCTTTGTAGTTCTCAGAATGTGGCAGAATTCATAAATACCTATTAATATTAGAAAGAGCAGGTGCAATTTTTCTTTGAAATTAGATCTTGGCAGCCTGGCCATGCCAAAAAAGAAAAAAAAAAGAAAAATCAGATCTGCCACTATTAAGAGAAACAAAGCCACTATTTAAAATTGTCTGTTTTTCCTTTCCATTTACTGCACTTGCAGCTACTTTAAAGGCACAGAGAGTAAGTATGAAGGAGTACAGACTTCATGAGCTGAAATGTATCATCACTCAAAGTATCATTTAAGTAACTACCATCCCCTAGAAAATAACAGAGGCTTGGGAATTGGACTGGGATGTGAGGTCAGTGGCATTTGACTTTGGTATACAATAAAAAGCTAGTTGCAATAAATGCAACTCATGTCCTGGAGAAGAGGACAGGATCTCAGTTAAAACAAAAAAACAAAAAAGAAAGAACACAAAGACATCCATAGCACCTGTCACATGGCTAACGCATGTTTGTTTGGTGGGATTTACCCAGCTAGTCCTGCCAAAATACCAAATATCTTCCTGAGAGCCTTCCATAAAAATCAATTCATGCTTCAAAATCAATTCAGCTCTCAATCCTTTGAGGACAAATTAAAGTTAAAAAATTTCTCAACATTCCATTGTGAATTATATTCTAATTAGCAAAGATCCTATATATTATTCTTTTGTTAATTATAGGATAACTAATTTTTTTTTAAGTAATCCTTTCAAAAATAAACCTACGTTGGACTCTAAATCAGTAGGAAAAGGAAAATAAACCAAGCTATAAAAAACATTTTGGGCCGGTCTCCGTGGCTCAGCCTGTAATCCCAGCACTTTGGGAGGTTGAGGCGAGTGGATTGCCTGAGTCCAAGGGTTCGAGACCAGTCCAGGCAACCTGGCAAGACCTCATCTATACAATAAATCAAAAATTAGCCGGGCGTGGTAGCGCGCACCTGCAGTTCCAGTTACTTGGAAGGCTGAGGTGGAAGGACTGCCAGAGCCCAGCAGGTCGACATTGGGGTGGCCGTGAGTGTGCCACTGCACTCTAGCCGGGGTGACGGAGTGAGACTCCTACTCAAATTTAAAAAAAAAAAAAAACCGAAAAACATTTTGATGGTGTATGCCTATAGTTCCAGCTACTTGGAAGGCTGAGGGGGAAGGATTGCCTGAGGCCAGCAAGTTGAGACTGTGGTTGTGCTGAGCTTGCCACCACACTCTAGCTTAGGCAACAGTGAGACTGCAACTCAAAAAAAAAAAAAAAGTGGGAACCAATAATAACCAAGTATTATCATTAAAATATATGTATGTATTATTTAGTCAGATTCTCACTCTCTCACTCAGGCTATAGTGCAGCAGCATAATCATAGTTTGCTGCAGTCTAAAAACTCCTGGACTTAGGTGATCCTTCTGCCTCAGCCTCTTAAGTAGCTGGAATTTCAGGTATGTACCATAAGACCTGGCTAATTTTTTTATTTTTTGTAAAGGTTAGATCTCACTATGTTGCCTAGGCTGGTCTTAAACTCCTGGGCTAAAGTGATCCTCTTGCCTTGGCCTCCCAAAGTGCTGGGATTACAGTCATGAGCCACTATGCCCAGCCAATATGACACTAAGTCAGTGCTAAATTTTACAGGGTGATGAAGCTTTTGTGATTATATAGAAAAATGTTCTTATTTTTAGGAGTACTATGCTTAAGTATTTAGAAGTCAAGTGTCATGATAACCACAGTTAAAGCAAAAGTGGCAAAAACTTAATAACTGGTAAATATAGGCGAAGAGTATAAGGGTATTCTTTTACTTTTTCCACAGGTATTAAAATTAAATTCTTTGCCGGGCTCGGTGGCTCAGCCTGTAATTCCACTGCTTTGGTAGGCTGAGGTGAGTGGATTGCCTGAGCCCGTGGGTTCGGGATCTGCCTGGGCAACTTGGCGAGACCTCATCTCTACAATAAATCAAAAATTAGCCGG